CTCTCGTCTCTGCTGCCATACCATCATCGATTGCCATATTCACTTCAGCTCCACCACCAGCCGCATTTCCAGCAGCTTCCCTCCTCACACCACCAATATCATCAGCTTCCGCAAAAGGGTCACTGCGTGCCACATCCCCATCCCTCCCTGTTTCTCTGTTCAAGACCGTTTCTTGCTGCTGCTGCTGCAGCTCCTGCTGCTGCATGGCCTGTGCTGTTGGTTGCGGCACTTGGAAAACAACATCACGGGCAGACGCGTCTGCTGACTCGCCGCCTCCTCTCCCCTCCAACTGCTCCTGCTGCTGCTGCGTCTCCTGCTCCTTCTCCTGCTGCTCCTGCTGCCGCTCCTGCTGCTCCTGCTGCCGCTCCTGCTGCTGATAATCCCCTCGCAACTGAGCATGCTGCTGTTGCTCCTCCTCCCCACCCGCCCTCCCTTCACTCATCCCCTCCCCTGACGGCAGAGCCTGTTGCACAACCCCCCCCAGCACAACACCATCTGCACCCCTCTTAACCCCTCCAGACACATCCCTGTTCCCAACACGCATCCCCTCAGGCATGTCACTGTGAGGCAGAGACATGGCATTCACCATGCCTCTCACGTCCGGGTCCAAAGGGGTGTGTAGGTGCGCCTCTCCCCCAGCTGCCATGGAATGCAGCACAAGCCTCGCCCCCATCAACGCCATACCCATCCACCCCTGCCGCTGCCGCCGCCACCACCGCCGCTGCTGCTGCCGCTGCTGCTGCTCCTTCACCTGCTGCTGCTGTATCATCACCCGCAGCGGTTGCTGCTGCTGCCCTATTAGCTCTATCTGCCCCACCTGCTGCTGCTGCTGCTGCTGCTGCTGCCCCTGTTGCAACACAGATCCTCTCACAGAAACAACAGGTCCAGCAGCAGCAATCTGTGCTGACCCAGCAGGGACCATTGCAGCGGTAGCCACGCTACGGGTTGTTGACGCTGCTGCAGCAGCCTTAATTCTCCGTCCCAGAATGCCTCTGCTGCTGCGAGCCCCACTCCTGCCCCTCCTCCCCTCCCGCACACCTCCGCTCTGCCCACAAACAGGCACAGAGCTACTTCCTTTTGAGGCTGGGAACTAGCTCTGCTACCCTTGAAAACAAGAGAAAGGAAAACCTAGCGGGTGTGAAAGAGAGAACAAAACATGGCCACCTGTTGCCCGACATTTTTCAACCCACTTCTACCACTCTGCACCTGTGAGTGCCACCCAAACCAAGCAACCAGGGGAGAGGAGCAGAAGCGGAAAGCATACAAAAAAGAGAGCTAGGGTTAAACATGATAGGAAAGTATGAGTATACCTCTCTCAGGAGAATAGTGGATGCAGGCTCGTTGGCAGCGGCACCGCCAGGGGCAGAGATGGGTTCAGGCGAAGCAAGCGGGAAGGGAGTGAGCGCTGTGGCAGACGAGACTGCTGCTCCTCTGTTCCTCTCCTGCCCACCGAAGATGGACGAAATGCCCCACGAGGACCCTGGGGCCCGGAGGGAGGGAGGGTAGGATGAGAGATGGAGAGATTCAAGGGGAAGTGAGTCAGGGGGAAGGGAGTGAGTGCTGTGGCAGACAAGACTGCTGCTCCTCGGTTCTTCTCCTGCCCACCGAAGATGGACGAAATGCCCCACGAGGACCCTGCGACCAGGAGGGTGAGAGGGAGAGACTGAGTCAGGGGGAAGGAAGTGAGCGCTGCGGCAGAAGGGACAGCTCCTTGGTTCCCCTCCTGCCCCCCAAAGATGGATGAGATGCGCCACGAGGACCCTGCGACCAGGAGGGAGAAAGGAGGGAGGGAGGGAGTAAGGCGGTTAGAGCAGCCCATAGGAACAAGTAAGGCGGTGAGAGCAGCCCATATGGACAAGTAAGGCGGTGAGAGCAGCAAGGGGGGAAGAGAGTTGAGGGGGAAAGGAGCGAGGGCTGTGGCAGTGTGGCATTCCTGAGCAACACTCTCAAAAACTATAATAACAGTAATATAACAAGAATAATAACAGTAATATAACAAGAATAATAACAGTAATATAACAAGAATAATAACACTAGTGCCAGTCCTGCTTACCTTGTTTGTCTGCCACTGTGCCGTTCGCAGTGGCTGCCTGCTTGCCCCCCTGTTGCTGCTGCTGCTCTTGCCCTCCTTGTCCCTGCCCCTGCCCCGCTCCCTCCTTCCTCATCAGCATCACCCTTTGCTTCGCCGCCGCTGCCACCGACGCCACTGCTGCTGTTGATGGGGACCCCCCTCCTGCTGCTGCTCCTGCTGCCAGTGCACCACCAGCAGCGCCAGTCCCTGCTGCCCCCTGCCCTCCCGCATCACTGCCCTTCCCTTCCTGCAGGTGTGGGGGAGTGGAAAGGACAGGGAGAATGCAGCACACAATGAAACAGGAGAAATCAAACCGTGTGAATCAAAGCGAAAGCTCCTCTTCTGCTGCTGCTGCTGCCACCGACGCCACTGCAGAGGTTGATGGGGATCCCCGTCCTGCTCCGCTGCTGTAAGTGCACCACCTGCAGCACCCGCCCCTGCTGTTCCCTGTCCTCCTGCATCACTGCCCTTCCCTTCCTGCAGGTGTGGTGGTGGTTGAAGGGGTAGGGGAGGGTGCAGCACACAATGAAACAGGAGAAATCAAACTGTGCGAATCAGAATGACGCTCCTCTTCTGCTGCCACTGAAGCAACTGCTGCAGTTGATGGGGATCCCCGTCCTGCTCCGCTGCTGTAAGTGCACCACCTGCAGCACCCGCCCCTGCTGTTCCCTGCCCTCCTCCCTCAATGCCCTTTCCTTCCTGCAGGTGTGAGTGGTGGAAGTCGCGGGGCTGAGGATGCAGCACACAATGAGACAGGACAATTTTGGACAATTTTGGACAATTTTTTTTTAGACAGGACAATTTTCTGGTTAGCGTGAATTGAAACGAAGCTCTTCTCCTGCTGCCGCTGCTGTCAATCAGTGCAGCACCCGCCTCTGCTGCTCCCTGCCCTCACTGTTCTTCCTTTCCTGCAGGTGGGCAAAAGGGCGCAGGAGGAAATGGCACACAACGGAACAGATTATAACCGAACGGAACGATTATAACCGTGCAAATTATAACCGTGCCGTTTCCTCCTGCGCCCTCCTGTGTTCCGTTGTGTGCCGTTTCCTCCTGCACAACGGAACGATTATAACAGTGCAAATTCAGACGAAGCTCCCCTCCTGCTGTTGCTGCTGCTGCTGCTGCTGCTGCCAGTGCAGCATCAGAGCTGCTTGCTCAAACAAGGCCAACAATCTGAACTTCCAACCTATTGCTGCCTGTTAACCAAGGAACTACCTCCATGATCCATCGAGCATACTTTCCAAATGCCCCAGTATCTGAAGGGTACTTGTGTGTACTCACCCTCAATTGCTGCAGGATAATCTCAACAGCTCTGCTGCCCCCAATGAAGCTGGGATGCGATGTATTGATGTAATCCATCTGGTTATATCAGACAGAAGGAGACAGGGGGAGTATAAGGGGGGGGGGGGGGGAGAAGAACAGGTGGAAAGACAGTGAAGATAAGATAAGCCCTCGCAATGAAGCTGGGATGCGATGTATTGATGTAATCCATCTGGTTATATCAGACGGAGGGACACAGGGGGAGTATAAGGGGGGGGGGGGGGGGAGAAGAACAGGTGGAAAGACAGTGAAGATAAGATAAGCCCTCGCAATGAAGCTGGGATGCGATGTATTGATGTAATCCATCTGGTTATATCAGACGGAGGGACACAGGGGGAGTATAAGGGGGGGGGGGGGGAGAAGAACAGGTGGAAAGACAGTGAAGATAAGATAAGCCCTCGCAATGAAGCCTGGATGCGATGTATTGATGTAATCCATCTGGTTGTATCAGACGGAGGGACACAGGGGGAGTATAAGGGGGGGGGGAAGGGGGGGGGAAGAAGAACAGGTGGAAAGACAGTGAAGATAAGCCGTCTCAATGAAGCTTGGATGCGATGTATTGCTGTAGGCCATTTGAGTGTTGGTACAGGAGATGGAGGCAGAGGAAAAATATTAGTACAGGAGAAGTAAATAGCCATTTCCCCAACCTCCTTGTCCACCCCACACCCCATGCCCCCGTGCCCAACCCTTTGCCAAACCTCCATAATTCCATCCAACCTCCCAGTATCCTGCTTCACCCCACTCTTACCTCCATGTCGATGAGGTGTCGAATCATGGTCTCCGCGGGAGTGAGCCCCATGCCCCATCCCTTGCCAACCCTCCATACCTCCACCTATCCCCACCTATCAATACCCAGCTGCAGCCCCCACCATCCCCCCCTTTCCCAATACCTCCATGTCAATGAGGTGTCGAATCATGGTCTCTGCAGGAGTGAGCCCCATGCCCCATACCTTGCCAATCCTCCATACCTCCCCATCTAACATACCCTGCCCGCTGCACACCTCCTCCCTCCCTACCTCCATGTCCATGAGGTGTCGAATCATGGTCTCTGCAGGAGTGAGCCCCATGCCCCATACCTTGCCAATCCTCCATACCTCCCCATCTAACATACCCTGCCCGCTGCACACCTCCTCCCTCCCTACCTCCATGTCCATGAGGTGTCGAATCATGGTCTCTGCAGGAGTGAGCCCCATGCCCCATACCTTGCCAATCCTCCATACCTCCCCATCTAACATACCCTGCCCGCTGCACACCTCCTCCCTCCCTACCTCCATGTCCATGAGGTGTCGAATCATGGTCTCTGCAGGAGTGAGCCCCATGCCCCATACCTTGCCAATCCTCCATACCTCCCCATCTAACATACCCTGCCCGCTGCACACCTCCTCCCTCCCTACCTCCATGTCCATGAGGTGTCGAATCATGGTCTCTGCAGGAGTGAGCCCCTCCCTGAGGAAGTTAGGTTCAAGAATTCTCGAGAGTTGACCAACGAAAACCCCATACCATCCCTAACCGAACCCATGCCCACCTACCAATACCCCGCTGCACCTCGTCCCCCTCCCTACCTCCATGTCAATGAGGTGCCGAATCATGGTCTCAGCAGGAGTGAGACCCTCCCTGAGAAAGCTCCCCACTGTCTCCTCCACCTTACGCCTCAACACAGGGAACCGGGCCAGCTGGTACGACTCACAGCGATGGGCAATCTGTAGTGGGTCAGGCACAGGGTAGGAGAGGGAGCATGGGAGAAGAAGGGAAGGAGGTGCTTCTCTGCTCTGCATGGGTTGAAAGCTCCCCACTGTCTCCTCCAGCTAATACGACTCACAGCGATGGGCGATCTGTGAGAGACAGAGCAGGGTGGGCAAGTGGGGGAGAGGGAGGCAACGCAATCGGTTGCTTTTCTGCGGGAGTAAGGCCCTCCCTGAGGAAGCTCCCCACCTGTCTCTTCCACCTTTTGCCGCAGCACAGGGAATCGGGCCAACTGGTACGACTCACAGCGATTAGCAATCTGCAAGGCAAAGGGGGGGGGAGGAGGGACGGAGACGAATTACTTTGTCTGTGAGGGAGGGAGTACTTGTCTGCGATTGCTTGGTTGAGCTAAGAAATTCGCCTTAGCACAGGGAACCGTACCAGCTGGTACGACTCGCGGCGATGGGCAATCTGTGAGGCATGAAACACGGTGGGGTGGGTGGGGTGGGGTAGGGAGGGTGGCGCAAGGGTAGAAGAGGGATGATGGTTTGCCTCTCTGCACGGGTTGAAAGCTCCCCCACTGTCTCTTCCACCTTGCGCCACAGCACCGGGAACTGAGCAATGAGCGATGAGCGATGTGTGGTGACGCAGGGGCAGGGTAGGGCAGAGCAAAAAAAAAAAAAAGGAAGGAGGAGGGGAGAGGGTTGTCACCTTTTGTGTCGTCCCCAGTAACTCAATAATTATCTCGCAATAGGAAGAACCTCACCTTGACTAGCTCATCGTAGACAAAGCGCGCGCACTGAAGCGAGGGGTCCAGCAGACGCGATATCTGCAACTCTGTAATGGGGTGGATTTTAAATCACAAGCCATCCCAGCTCACCTTGACTAGTTCGTCGTAGACGAAGCGCACGCACTGAAGCGAGGGGTCCAGCAGACGCGATATCTGCAACTCTGTAATGGGGTGGATTTTAAAACACAAGCCATCCCAGCTCACCTTGACTAATTCGTCGTAGACGAAGCGCGCGCACTGAAGCGAGGGGTCCAGCAGACGCGATATCTGCAACTCTGTAATGGGGTGGATTTTAAATCACAAGCCATCCCAGCTCACCTTGACTAGTTCGTCGTAGACGAAGCGCGCGCACTGAAGCGAGGGGTCCAGCAGACGCGATATCTGCAACTCTGTAATGGGGTGGATTTTAAATCACAAGCCATCCCAGCTCACCTTGACTAGTTCGTCGTAGACGAAGCGCGCGCACTGAAGCGAGGGGTCCAGCAGACGCGATATCTGCAACTCTGTAATGGGGTGGATTTTAAATCACAAGCCATCCCAGCTCACCTTGACTAGTTCGTCGTAGACGAAGCGCGCGCACTGAAGCGAGGGGTCCAGCAGACGCGATATCTGCAACTCTGTAATGGGGTGGATTTTAAATCACAAGCCATCCCAGCTCACCTTGACTAGTTCGTCGTAGACGAAGCGCGCGCACTGAAGCGAGGGGTCCAGCAGACGCGATATCTGCAACTCTGTAATGGGGTGGATTTTAAATCACAAGCCATCCCAGCTCACCTTGACTAGTTCGTCGTAGACGAAGCGCGCGCACTGAAGCGAGGGGTCGAGCAGACGCGATATCTGCCGCCTCACCAGCACCTCAAAGGGCACCTGGACAACAGATGTGGCATCACAGGGAAGTGTGTCCATAGAAAGTAGCAGGGTAAAGGGGGCGGATTCGAGCCCTCACAACCTCAACAAGTAACTTGAAAGGAAAAGAAAAGATCGAAGAACTTGGAAGGAAAAGAAAATATCGAAGAACTTGGAAGGAAAAGAAAAGATCGAAGAACTTGGAAGGAAAAGAAAAGATCGAAGAACTTGGAAGGAAAAGAAAAGATCGAAGCTATGGAAACCCTGTTAATCCAAAGAAGCAGTTAAAGCATGTGGGATCAAGAGAGCACAAGCATGCAACAAATAAGCAAGGCAAGACTCACATCCGGTACGAAGAGCGCGTCTTTTGTTCCTGTGGCGTTCTGGATGGTCGTGTTCCTGAGTTAGAGGTTCCTCACGAGAAGGCAAGGCACTGCACTGCACTGAAATGCACTGCACTGCAAGGGACTACTCACATCTGGTACGAAGAGTGCGTTCTTCGTTCCCGTGGCGTTCTGGATGGCCGTGCGAATGTCCTCATCTGACAGGTCCTCACAGGGGTCCACCTCCTGAGAGGCACTCAGGGGCGGGGAAGGAGGTGAGCGGGTGAAGGGAGAGAGTGAAGGGATGGAATGAAGAGAGGGGGAGAGAAGAAAGACCGGTGCGAATGTCCTCGTCTGAAAGGCCCTCACAGGGATCAAATTCCTGAGGGAGGGGATCCCTCAGCTCCCATCACTCCATCAGCTCACGATCAAATACATTTGACTTCTCCCCACAGGATTTCCTGGCACGCAGGAGAAGGGAAGGGAGACCTTGAGCTGATGGAGTGATGGGAGGGAGAAGTCAAATGTATGCACCTTTTCCGCATCCGACTGCACTGACAGGCGTAATGAATTTGATTTCATCATGCCAGCTCAGTTGCTGACGTCACAGAAGTCAAACGAGACGCACATCAATGCACTGAACTGAACTGAGCTCACATTGATCAACCAAGCTCACATCAATCCATCAACCCAACTCATTTCGATTGATCAACCCAACCCAGCTCAAATTAACCGATCAACCAACTCACATCGATGCATTTGACAAAGATGTTTTGGAAGATGTAGTGGATTCGAGCTCCTCCCGCCAGCTCTGCTGTGGACATGCCTTGGTTCTTGCCATCCACTATCGTCACAAAGGCTGCTCACAAGAAGAAACAAAGGAGGGTAAGAAAGCAAACAAGAGAATGCTCTTGCAAACTCTCAAAAGTCCTCCTGCCAGCTCGGCTGTGGACATGCCTTGGTTCTTGCCATCCACTATCGCCACGAAGGCTGCTCAGGGTAAAAAATACAATGCAGGGAATAAAAGCGTGTACTGGGAAATGAGATTGCACCTACAGTACACCACCAGAATCCATTCAATCTACTCGCACACCCAATTCATGTTGAGAGCACTTGGGTTGGGATGTTAAGGTAGAAAACTCACGCAGGCTTACAGTGATTCTTGAGGAGCCTAAAATAAACCCTGTCTCATTGTTCGAAGGGCTGCAGTGGTTGAACAATGAGTCAGGGTGACCGCAGGCTTACAGTGATTCTTGAGGAGCCTAAAATAAACAGTGCAGGCACTGCAAGCCCTGACACTCTTATCGCTACTTACAGGTTTTACTGAAGCAGGGGGTTGAAAGAGCAACTCACATTGAGAGTACTTGGTGAGAATGTTGAGCAGAAGCACTCCCATGGTGGCCTGAGGAACGGGCAGCGCAAACAAGAAGCGGCAAAAGCAGGGGAATTACCCAGCAAGGTGCATGAGGATAAGAGTACTTGGTCAGAATGTTGAGCAGAAGCACTCCCATGGTGGCCTGGGGGTTAGGGAAAGGAGCACAAACAGGCAACAGGGAGAGGAATCATCCAAACGGAGTTTATAGAAACACCTTAGAGGTGCCTCAAGCAAGGAACATCACCCAAACACAGTGCATGGGACGATGACAAAGAGTGGTGATGATGCCTCCTTCACGAAAACGTTCTCTCCTTGACTTGACGTATCTCCTTCACCTCCCACGTCAGCACCTTCTGTCCACCTCACCGTCCCTGCTCCCTCTTTTAATGCATCATCTCACCTCCCATCTCGATTCTCAACACCTCCTCTCCAGCTAACCATCCCTTCTCCCATCCATCAGCCGCCTCCCAATACCCTACGAGTTTCCCCATACCCTACGAGTTTCCCAATACCCTACGAGTTTCCCCATACCCTGCGAGTTTCCCAATACCCTACGAGTTTCCCCATACCCTACGAGTTTCCCAATACCCTACGAGTTTCCCAATACCCTACGAGTTTCCCAATACCCTACGAGTTTCCCAATACCCTACGAGTTTCCCAATACCCTACGAGTTTCCCAATACCCTACGAGTTTCCCAATACCCAACGAGTTTCCCAATACCCTACGAGTTTCCCCATACCCTACGAGTTTCCCCATACTCTACGAGTTTCCCCATACCCTACGAGTTTCCCAATACCCAACGAGTTTCCCAATACCCTACGAGTTTCCCAATACCCTACGAGTTTCCCAATACCCTACGAGTTTCCCAATACCCTACGAGTTTCCCAATACCCTACGAGTTTCCCAATACCCTACGAGTTTCCCAATACCCTACGAGTTTCCCAATACCCTACGAGTTTCCCATACCCTACGAGTTTCCCAATACCCTACGAGTTTCCCAATACCCTACGAGTTTCCCATACCCTACGAGTTTCCCAATACCCTACGAGTTTCCCAATACCCTACGAGTTTCCCAATACCCTACGAGTTTCCCAATACCCTACGAGTTTCCCAATACCCTACGAGTTTCCCAATACCCTACGAGTTTCCCAATACCCTACGAGTTTCCCCATACCCTACGAGTTTCCCCATACCCTACGAGTTTCCCCATACTCTACGAGTTTCCCCATACCCTACGAGTTTCCCAATACCCTACGAGTTTCCCCATACCCTACGAGTTTCCCAATACCCTACGAGTTTCCCCATACCCTACGAGTTTCCCAATACCCTACGAGTTTCCCAATACCCTACGAGTTTCCCAATACCCTACGAGTTTCCCAATACCCTACGAGTTTCCCAATACCCTACGAGTTTCCCAATACCCTACGAGTTTCCCAATACCCTACGAGTTTCCCAATACCCTACGAGTTTCCCAATACCCTACGAGTTTCCCATACCCTACGAGTTTCCCAATACCCTACGAGTTTCCCAATACCCTACGAGTTTCCCAATACCCTACGAGTTTCCCAATACCCTACGAGTTTCCCCATACCCTACGAGTTTCCCAATACCCTACGAGTTTCCCAATACCCTACGAGTTTCCCCATACCCTACGAGTTTCCCCATACCCTACGAGTTTCCCCATACTCTACGAGTTTCCCAATACCCTACGAGTTTCCCAATACCCTACGAGTTTCCCCATACTCTACGAGTTTCCCCATACTCTACGAGTTTCCCCATACCCTACGAGTTTCCCCATACCCTATGAGTTTCCCCATACCCTACGAGTTTCCCCATACTCTACGAGTTTCCCCATACCCTACGAGTTTCCCCATACCCTACGAGTTTCCCAATACCCTGCGAGTTTCCCCATACCCTGCGAGTTTCCCAATACCCTACGAGTTTCCCAATACCCTACGAGTTTCCCCATACCCTACGAGTTTCCCCATACCCTACGAGTTTCCCCATACCCTACGAGTTTCCCAATACCCTACGAGTTTCCCCATACCCAACGAGTTTCCCAATACCCTACGAGTTTCCCCATACCCTACGAGTTTCCCAATACCCTACGAGTTTCCCCATACCCTACGAGTTTCCCCATACCCTACGAGTTTCCCATACCCTACGAGTTCCCCATACCCTACGAGTTTCCCCATACCCTACGAGTTTCCCCATACCCTACGAGTTTCTTGTGCACTGGCAACCTCCGGATCAGCGTTTATGTGCGTCTCCTACAAGATAACATTCGCCCTCTCTGTGCACTTCCTCAAACCAAACAACAATCACCCGCTTTGCAGCCTCCCCATACCCCACAAACTCCTCGTGCACTGGCCCACCTATGCGAGCATTGACGCCAACTAGTTACGAGACCAGCTCAGCTGTGATTTCTGGGAAATGCATGGCAACGCGGCCGAGAGACAACACGTTAGCGGTGCTGGCAGCAGCACCCACCCACCAGCTGCACCAGCCCATTGCCCCACCCTTTTCCATCTCCCTACCTACTTTTGCATCCACCGTATCTGCCGTTGCCCTCTCGCCGCTGCTTCCTGCCTCTTTTCCCCAACGTAAGCAGGTATGGTGGATGCCAAAGCAGGCAAGAAAACGGAAAATGGTGGGGCAATGGACTGTTGCAGCTAGAGGGTGCTGCTGCCAGCGCCGCTAACGAGTTGTTTCTCGGCCGCGTTGCCATGTATTTCCCAGAAATCGCAGTTGACGAGCATTAAAAACTCACCCGCTCAGCCGCCTCCCCATACCCCACAAGCTCCTTGTGCACTACCACCATCTGCGTGTGCATGGGTTGGTGCTATCCCTACTTATCCGATAAAGACTCACCCGCTCTGCAGCTTCACCATACCCCACAAGCTCCTTATGCACCGCCACCATCTGAGCGTTGATTCGCGCCTTGAGATCCGGCAGGAGCAGGCGGATGTGCTGCACGAGAATCTGAGAGGAGACAGCCGCACAGAGGGGAGAGATGGGGACATGTGAATGCTAATAAGCCTTGGGGACCATTCATCCGCGCCTTGAGATCCAGCAGGAGCAGGAGGATGTGCTGCACGAGAATCTGACAAAAGGGATTGAAAGACTAGTGGACACATAGCGTGGTACTGTCGGGAGCAAGCGTGCTTTTGAGGCGCCTCAAAAAAGGTCGTCTTTTGAGGCGCCTAAAAAAAAGTCGTCTTTTGAGGCGCCTCAAAAAAGGTCGTCTTTTGAGGCGCCTCAAAAGTCATAGCCTGGTACTGTCGGGAGCAAGCGTGCCATCAGCCGGGCTCTCAACTCACTGAATTGCGTTTCTTGACAGGCTGAGGAATCCCATTCCAATCCTCCAACTCATGGTAAAACACAAGTACCCCAATATAACCCATCCTACCCACATCTCTTGCTACACTAATTTCAATTCCCTTCTGTAATGATTCCTGCAAGCCCCTACCAACTAGACTCTCATCTCAACTCACCGAGTTGAGCTTCTTAGCAAGCTGCGGAATCCCACACCGATCTGCCAATCCATGGTAAACCTGTGGTGCCACGTGCAAACAGGCATGCAAAGAGGGATAAAGATGAGTAGACATGCAGAAAACCAGCAAGTCACAAGCGAGTGGGTTTCCCTCACCCTCACAACACATGGAGTATACGAACTTCAAACTTGACAGTTCACGAGTCACAAGTGCTTGTCTGAAAGAAAAAAATCTCAGACTCACCGGTCTGCTTCGGAAAAAGGCCTCCTCGTAGGTGAGCGCGTCCTTGACACTCTTCTTCGCGTTGATATCCTGACAGGGGGAGCGGGAGGGGGATAGAAGAGGCGTGACATGAGGCGACAAGAGAGGTGCAATACTTGTTGGCTTTACGAGTCCCCAACTTGTCAAACATCCTCCTTGGAGATGAGTGCGTGCTTGACACTCTTCTTCGCGTTGGTGTCCTGACAGGGGGGAGAAGGGACATTGGCAAGGGTTGAGGACAGAAAGGGTATGATGGGATTGTTTCCTGGCTGCGGTCGATGACCACACATAGCCAGGAAACAATCCCATCGACCGCAGGGCAAAGCTATTGACAGCTTTTGAGGCGCCTAATAAGTCCTTTTTGTGGAAGCAGGGTACAAACATCCAGTTAGACACCTCCCTGGGTACTCCCTACCTCCCCTGAGCCCCCTCCCTGGGTACTCCCTGGCTCCCTGGGAACCCACCTCTTGGCTGCGGTTGATGACGCCCACATAGCCCAGGCGCAGCGGGATCACATTGCCTAGCAGCAGGTTGCATGCATCGGTGCCCCGATCCATGATATCAAGCTGCAAGTTCAGCATACACGATACAGCATGAGATTTGAGAACTACAAGCAGCAGGCAGCAGGATGAGCATGAAATCATCACAAGCAGATTGAAGCAATAGGCATGTCTAGACAAGTGGCAGTTGGACTGATTGATAGAGGCCATTCGCATTCACTAATCCACGATATTCAGCTGCTCAAAAATTGAAGTGGAAAACGGAGGGAAACGTGACGACTCAAACTCACTCCTCCCTTCACGAATGAAAGGAAGCATACATGAATGAGATGCAACAAGCGAAGGTACAGCAAATTGCAAAACCACGCATACCTTCGTGATAACCCCAATTGTTCGATGGCCTGACAGGATAGCAACAAGAAGCGGGAGGGGACACACAAAAGGGCACAGGGACAAGGAAGAATGCTGAGATTGGGAGAAGGGAATGGCTGCAGTACGAGACACACACAAATTGTCTCTGTGTCGACTCAAAGAACACAAGAACCATCCTTCCCGGAAGCTCTATCTCCTCTGATTGCATCCAAACCAGTGCCTCTATGTCACACACGCCAAATGCATGGATCAGTAACCGAACGGACCCCATCCCCCGAAAACCAACCGACAAGATAGACCACAAAAACCGGCACAGTCAGTCTGTCACCATCAGTATCAGCATTCGCGGGTGTGACCGCCAGAATAATGCAGGTCTCGTGCTTGATGTAGGCGAGGATCATGGATCGCACACGGGCCACGATGTCGGAGGGCTGGTCGCCCACGGGCCTCTAACTACGCCCCAACCCCATATGCCCCTCCCCAGGAACATGGACCAATCCCCGTGTCCCACAACTGAACCAACCAGTGAAACCAGCAAGACCACCAGCACAGTCAGACTCACCATCAGGGTCTGCCACCCTTGACGTTGCAGGGAGTTTTTGAGAATTCTCAAAAACTCCCAGCACTGTCAGACTCACCATCAGGGTCTGCCACCCTTGACGTTGCAGGGAGTTTTTTAGAATTCTCAAAAACTCCCAGCACTGTCAGACTCACCATCAGGGTCTGCCACCCTTGACGTTGCAGGGAGTTTTTTAGAATTCTCAAAAACTCCCAGCACTGTCAGACTCACCATCAGGGTCTGCCACCCTTGACGTTGCAGGGAGTTTTTTAGAATTCTCAAAAACTCCCAGCACTGTCAGACTCACCATCAGGGTCTGCCATCCGCGCCACTTGCAGCGCATCGGAATTGGCCAAATCCGCATTAGCCGGGGTGACCGCCAGGATGATGCAGGTCTCGTGCTTGATGTAGGCCAGGATCATGGATCGCACGCGGGCCTCGATGTCGGAGGGCTGGTCGCCCACGGGCACCTTGGTGATGCCGGGCAGGTCCACGAGGGTTATTGTGAGGACGTGGGGGGAGAATATCTTGAGGCGGATCTGCTTCTCCGTTATGCCCTTGTTTATCCCCACCTCCCTCTCTGTTTCCAACTGAATTGGGGGGTTCGAAAAAATGAGGCAGGAGGGAGGAGGGACGGAGGGAAGGAGAGAAGAAAGACGAGGATGGGGAGAGAAGTGGAGTAGGAGAGAGGTAGGGTAACAGCAGGAGTGATGGTGAGCACGTGGGTTGAGCAAAAACAGCAGCAGAGGAGTTGCAAATCGCAATGCAGCAGCGGATGAACTTTATAATGAATTAGCGACTCAGTCTGCTCTGCACAAACACACAGGGTTTGGTAGCTCCAGTGAAATTAGAGACACTTGACAAAGCTATGCCTTTTTGGTTGAGTAAAAGACGTGGAGCCCCAATGAACCACGAAAAATTTGAAAAGAAAGATTCGAGCAGTGGGAATCGGGAAAGGAAAACTCATGAATGGGGATTTAAAAAGGGAAATTGAGAAGGAGGAATGAGTAAAGGGGACTGGGGAAGGGAAACTCAAAACGAAAAGGACGATCCAGGAAGGTTAATTCAGAAGGCGGGGTTGTAAAAAGGGTGCAGGGAGGTATCAAGAAAGAAAATGAAAATCACACTATGCATCGTGTCATTACCCAACAAATTAGAGACTTCTCAAAACGACAAACGACAATACCTGAATCTCGTCCCGAATCGCGGAGAAATCCGTGAATCTCTTTCCGGGCAGGTGCAGAAACTCCCCCCATTCCTCCGCCTTGCCGTCCGCGCGCTTCGGCACCTGCACCAGCTGCAGCACCAGCGGCCGGCGCGTGACCACGTCGGATCCACGTGGCAGAAAATCCTTCCCGACGAGCGACTCGAGAACGCTGGATTTCCCGCTGCTCTGACTCCCCACAACGGCTACTTGCGGTAAGTCGATCGCGCTGGACGATCCGAGCTGGGAAAAGATGTCCTGCAGTTTATTAACTACCGGGATGACCGAGTCGCCCAGTAGCTCTATCGTGGAAGCTTCCTCCTCCTCCGCGACCTCGGGTCGCGTGTACGCCATGGCGCAGGAGAAAGGGACGAAGAAAGCGGGGTCCGGATGAGAGTCAGGACAGGATGAGGAGTCAAGATCAAAGCGGAGTCTGGATGGATGGAATCCGGTGGGAAGACGGAACCGCGACGGATCGCTAATCAAGTTCCGAGATTATTCTGGAAACGAGAGGAGGAAAGAGTTCTGAGACGTCCCAGATTTTGAGCTGTATTGATCGACGGCTCAGATCTGGCGCCAGCGTAAATTGGCCGTCTTGCTCGATTGCGTTTCTAATCTGGACGATCGCAAATGAACCCAAGGGAGCGAATGCGAATACCGACAAGCAGTAATCCTGGAATGACAGCTTTCGGATGGAACCCGAAGACGTGAAGCCAGTAGTGAGGATCAGGTGTACCAAGTGTCAGGAATCCCTTTTGAGAGTTCTCCGAAAGAACGCAGCCGAGGGAAGAAGGAAGCTCCGAGATGCAGCCGAAAGAGACGCTCGAGAGACGAAGCACAGATGTTCGCGAGATGATCTGAGCTGCGGTATTCTGTTGACTATCTACTGAGCATTAGAAACACACGTCAGAAGTGCGGTCAGTAAATGCAGGGACTGGCACAGCAGGCGACCGATCGGCGGCCTAAGTATGCAGAACGGCCAGCTATGACGTTTGGAAAAGCTCCGCCGCACAGACAGAGCCTCACGAGCTAAAATTTAGGAGGCTGACAGACTCTGTTAGTTAGCTGCTTAGCAGATTCTGTTACGCAGTCGGAAAGAACTTCGGGATTTGGTCATACAGTCAGGCTCGACGCACCAGCATGGTGGCTGCCTGGCTCGGCACGGCACCATACTGCTTGGTTCGGGCATGCAAGGAAGTTTGCGTACACCGAGGCTTCCGAGTTGCCTTGGAATGGCTCTGAGTGGATGATCATATTCGAGCCTTCAAGCACAGCTCTACACGCACACGCAATACAGCTTGTTGTGGGCCTCGATTCTACCTCCGTTGAGAGGTACAATGAAGATATTCCTTGAGCATACATCTGTACTCGTTCACGTACAGATATTAATTACTTTCTGCATACTCATCAGCACAATTCTGACACTCTTCGTATATTGCTCCATTCTGGCAAGAAAAGTCCATCTGGATTTCTAAAAATACTTAAAGCGCAAAGTTTTGTCCAAGAGAACACTCATAAAGCTCAAGCAAATACTTAAGAAGACATGACACTTCCACAATCCGTTATATGCCCACTTGGCTGGTTACTTGACTGGTTACACTGTTGGCACAACCCCTACTGACATTTCTATCGGTGCAATTTCCATCTAGGATGTAGATCGAATCTGTCAGTGTCATTAGGCTTCAGCCGCCACCTCACCTCACCGGTGCAGAATGTTCTTCTTTTGACGCTTCTCCTTGGGCTGTCAACACACACATCAATGTACCCATGGGGACAGCAAGATAATCAGAAAGGATGGCAAAGGGAAAGAAAGGAGGAAATGCAATCCCCCAAAAGAGAGGGGGATACCACGTGCATCAGGTTTCACACAAAAAATGAGACCCGCACGAGACACCACGAAAGAATCGCGCACACATGGCAGCACTTGAGGTGCTGCCGCTTACCCGGCTGCCGCGGTTCCGAGACTTAAGTGCCTCGGTGTCGATCCTCTCTTGCCATGTGCTCTTGCGCAGCTTGATTGGCCGATTTCCCACGAACCCGAAGACGTGAAGCCAGTAGTGAGGATCAGGTGTACCAAGTGTCAGGAATCCCTTTTGAGAGTTCTCCGAAAGAACGCAGCCGAGGGAAGAAGGAAGCTCCGAGATGCAGCCGAAAGAGACGCTCGAGAGACGAAGCACAGATGTTCGCGAGATGATCTGAGCTGCGGTATTCTGTTGACTATCTACTGAGCATTAGAAACACACGTCAGAAGTGCGGTCAGTAAATGCAGGGACTGGCACAGCAGGCGACCGATCGGCGGCCTAAGTATGCAGAACGGCCAGCTATGACGTTTGGAAAAGCTCCGCCGCACAGACAGAGCCTCACGAGCTAAAATTTAGGAGGCTGACAGACTCTGTTAGTTAGCTGCTTAGCAGATTCTGTTACGCAGTCGGAAAGAACTTCGGGATTTGGTCATACAGTCAGGCTCGACGCACCAGCATGGTGGCTGCCTGGCTCGGCACGGCACCATACTGCTTGGTTCGGGCATGCAAGGAAGTTTGCGTACACCGAGGCTTCCGAGTTGCCTTGGAATGGCTCTGAGTGGATGATCATATTCGAGCCTTCAAGCACAGCTCTACACGCACACGCAATACAGCTTGTTGTGGGCCTCGATTCTACCTCCGTTGAGAGGTACAATGAAGATATTCCTTGAGCATACATCTGTACTCGTTCACGTACAGATATTAATTACTTTCTGCATACTCATCAGCACAATTCTGACACTCTTCGTATATTGCTCCATTCTGGCAAGAAAAGTCCATCTGGATTTCTAAAAATACTTAAAGCGCAAAGTTTTGTCCAAGAGAACACTCATAAAGCTCAAGCAAATACTTAAGAAGACATGACACTTCCACAATCCGTTATATGCCCACTTGGCTGGTTACTTGACTGGTTACACTGTTGGCACAACCCCTACTGACATTTCTATCGGTGCAATTTCCATCTAGGATGTAGATCGAATCTGTCAGTGTCATTAGGCTTCAGCCGCCACCTCACCTCACCGGTGCAGAATGTTCTTCTTTTGACGCTTCTCCTTGGGCTGTCAACACACACATCAATGTACCCATGGGGACAGCAAGATAATCAGAAAGGATGGCAAAGGGAAAGAAAGGAGGAAATGCAATCCCCCAAAAGAGAGGGGGATACCACGTGCATCAGGTTTCACACAAAAAATGAGACCCGCACGAGACACCACGAAAGAATCGCGCACACATGGCAGCACTTGAGGTGCTGCCGCTTACCCGGCTGCCGCGGTTCCGAGACTTAAGTGCCTCGGTGTCGATCCTCTCTTGCCATGTGCTCTTGCGCAGCTTGATTGGCCGATTTCCCACGTACTTCCCTGCTCACACCAGCATGCACATGCAGATGTTTTGGAAAGAACAGTCGCGTGTATGCATGTACTCGTTTTGAGCGGACTCAAAACATGCAGATGTTTTGGAAAGAACGCTCCTATGTATGCATGTACAATAACAAGGCAGGAAAAACAATGCACAAAACAGACACCCTGATGCAGACCTGGGTTACTGGCACAGACCTGGGTTACTGGCACAGACCTGGGTTACTGGCACTGGTAACTAGACACAGCTCAGTCAGTAATGCAGAGATGGACAGTCTGGATGACTTTTCAGTCGACTCAAAAGTCAGCTACTGACACTGGTAACTAGACACAGCTCAGACAGTCATGCAGAGATGGACATTCTTGCTCCCACCTGAACTCGTTGACTTTTGTTGACCAGTGTTGACTCACGCTCACTCACTGTTGATGCTTGTAAAAGCAGCAGCTCATTCACTGCATTGACTCACCGTTCATCTCCTTGAGGGCAGCAGCACAGTCCATCACTTCACTCACCCCCCATTGACTTCATTGACTGTCTTGACCCACCACTGACCCAGAGTTGACTGTCTTGACTCACCGTTCATCTCCTTGAGAGCAGCAGCACAGTCCATCACTTCACCGAAGCTCACGAACCCATACCCCTTGGTCTTGCCCGTCGTCTTGTCCCTCACCACCTGCAGTGAGGCGTGCATTGAGCACCAAAAACGGGGGGAAAAGATGGGAAGCAAAGGAGGATGAAGCATAAAGGTGAAACAAGATGGGTTTTGTGGTCTTATCTCTCACCACCTGAAAGAAAGGAAGGGAGGGGGGGGGGGGGAAGAATGAGCAAGTGACTTGGGGCCAGCCTACGCGCCTCAATGGGCAAAACCCTTGGTCTTGCATGTGGTCTTGTCCCTCACGACCTGAAAGGAGAGGAGGGTGGGGGAGGGTGAGCAAGTGCCTTGGGGCCCGTCGTTTTGTCCCTATACGGGGAAGTGCAGAGCAGGGAGGTGTTACTCGGGAAAGTGGCAGCAAATAGAGACCGGTTGCAGCGGGAGGTGGAGTGACTCAAAGGAGAGGTGGAAAGGGAAGTGGAGAAGAGGAGGGCAATCGAGGCAGAGCTTCAGGCTTGCAGGCGGTAGTTGGAGGTGATGGATGCTGAGATGCATGAATGAAAATGTGCGTGGATGGTAAGGTGCATGGATGGTAACCCTAATGTATCTTACCATCCACGCGCATTTCCATTCATGCATCTCAGCATCCATCACAACCAGTTATCGCCTGCAAGCCTGTAGCTCTGCTTCGGTTGACGTCCTCTTTTCTACCTCCCTCTCCACCTCTCCTTTGAGTCGCTCCACCTCCTATTGCAGCCGGTCCCTAACTGCCGCTACTTTCCCAAGCATCAGTACACCTTAGCCTTGTTGAAGGACGTGAATTTCTAAAACGCCTTGACTGGCACACCATGCTTGCATGCACCACCACACCATGGCAGCACCTCTGCACTCCTAACACCGCACTCCGGCCTGTACATGCTGACATTGGCCTTTTTGAAAGAAGTGTATATTTTAAACGCCTTTGCAACTGAACTCCCACCTGCCACTGCACCTTGGCCTTCCTGCCTCACCTTGGCCTTCCTGCCTCACCTTGGCCTTCCTGCCTCACTTTGGCCTAAAGACGCGTACTTCTGACAAGCCTTGGCCAGCACACCAAGTGGGGCCATACCGGGTGCCCCATCTTGGCCTTGCAGGGTCCACTCCACAGCTACTGCTGCAAGGCGCCTCAAAACTTGGCCTTGTTGAGCGATGCGTACTTCTGAAATGCCTTGGCCAGCACACCATGCCAGCGCCACCACACTCCTACCAACCCCACCTTGGCACCAAGTTGACTTTTGAGTCGACTCAAAAGTCAACCCAGCAGACCATGCCAGCGCCACCACACTCCTACCAACCCCACCTTGGCACCAAAACTGATCTTACTAGCTGCCTCACCTTTCCCTAGCTGCCTCACCTCTCCCTAGCTGCCTCACCTCTCCCTTGCTGCCTCACCTCTCCCTTGCTGCCTCACCTTAGCCTTGTTAAACGACGCGTATTTCTGAAACGCCTTTGCCAGCACGTCATCGTTCACCTCGTTGCCGAGATCACCACAGAATATTCGATGGTCGTCTGCATGGGAATGGGTATGTGTATGGGGGAATGGGGTATGGTAGAGAGGAGCATTGGGGGATGTGCCTTGGCCAGCACATCATCGTTCACTTTGTTGCCCAGATCCCCCCAGAAGAGCAGATGGTCGTCTGGGTGGGCATGTGGACATGGGATCAAGTATGATAGTGAATAAGGGTTGTGCATGGTTCGTATGGGGGGGTATGTCTTGGCCAGCACATCATCGTTCACCTCGTTTTCCAAATCCCCACAGAATGGCATGGGAATGGGCATGTGTATGGGGGAATAGGGCATGGTAGAGGGGAGCAATGGCGGGTATGTCTTGGCCAGCACATCATCGTTCACCTCGTTGCCCACATCACCACATAACATAACAGCCGATGGCCGTCTGGGGCACGGGTGGCATCTGGGTTTAAAGGTGTATTGGAGTGACTTAAAGGTGTATTCTCAAAAGTCACTCCAATACGTCTGGGGCATGGGTGGCATCTGGGTTTAAAGGTGTTAGATGCCACCCACCCATCCAGACGATTGGGTACAAGGTTTTGGGTACTGAGGTGTTAGACACTAGTATGAGGAAACAGTGTAGGGAATGGAGGGTTGTGTGAGTATGGGGGCATGGGGCCATGGCGGCCCATGGGGCTATGATGGTATCGTATGGGGGCAAAGGGGTATGGCGGTGCAGAGGTATTGGGTATGGGGCATGGGGATATGGAGTTGGAAGTTTGCTAATGTGGGGATACGGGGGTATATGATACGGCTCGTGCAAATTATGGGGGGTATTGGACCAGCTTACTCTCAGGCCATTCAGTCAGAGTCGGATCTTCCCATTTCTGCCCGGCTGCTGTCCTCGGCACCGGCCGCTTTTTCTTTTGCTGCCCGGCAGCCTGCCCGGCCATGCCCAGCGGCACGTTACTGGCCAGGGCAGCTTTAACTCCTTCCAAAGCTGCCGGGTTGATCATGGCTGCATCTCTTTGAAACAGCTGCTCCGCCTGCACTCGGGAAAAAAAGGGAAGGGGGGAGGGAGGGGGGCGGGAGGGGGGCGGGAGGGGGGAGGGAGGGGGGAGGGAGGGGGGAGGGAGGGGGGAGGGAGGGGGGAGGGAGGGGGGAGGATGAAGGGGAAAGTGGGGCGAGGGCAGAGAGTGGGGTGTGTGTAAGCTGCGGGGTTGATCATGGCTGCATCCCTTTGAAATAGCTGCTCCGCCTACACTTGTGATTAAGGGGAAGGGTTTGCAGCGGGAGGGGAGGGAAGGGGGAACAAAGTGAGGTGAGGGTTAGTGGATGGAAAGGAATAACCAAGGGGTTTAAGGAGCTGCCACGTACAAGGATCATGGTTGCATCCCTTTGGAACAGCTTCTCTGCCTGGTAAAGGGGGAAGGGGGAGGGGGGGGGGGGGGGGGGATTGGAGGGGCGTGAGGGGAAAGGAGGAGAGGGAGGAAGGGGAGGGGGGAAAGAGGGGGGAGTGTGAGCAGCCGGGTTGATCATGGCTGCCAGGGGGGAGAGATGGGGGTGAAGGGGGGGAGGAGGGGGGTGAGAGGGGGGAGAAGAGGGGTGAGTGGGGGAGGAGGGAGTGGGGGGCGGAATAGGTGGGTGGAGGGGGGAGGAGGAGAGTGGGGGTGGGGGAGAGAAGGTGGGTGGGGGGGGGGAGAAGGTGGGTGGGGGTGAGGTGAGGAGGAGGTGGGTGGGGGTGAGGAGGAGGTGGGTGGGGTGGGGGTGGGGGGAGGAATCGGAATCTGGAGGACCTGACGGGCATGGGAATGCTTTCAAACAAATCTGACCTGTTAGCCTTTCGAAGCTTGAGTTGGAATTTTATACAGGAAAGAGAAGGTCGGGGATGCTGTAAGATGGGTGTGGTTTTCTTCCCTGCGGTTCTTGTGTTGAGTAGTAACGCTGTAACGAGGTGATTCGAAACAGTCCATTTTCGTCCATAACTGACCTGCGAGTTGATTGGCTTTCCTGACGCTCTTGCTGCATTGGGGTTGGCCTGATATGAGGGAAACAAGGGGAGGGAGGAAGGCGGGGGAAGAGGAAAGAAAGAAGGAACCCCCGTAAGCATGAAGGAGGGTGATTCGAATGGGAAAGAGGGGGGGGGGGGGGGGGGGGGGGGGGGGGGGAGGAGAAAGGGGGCCTTCGAGAGGTGTCGTGTCAAAGGCTTATAAAAAAACCCTCCGAGGAATATTTCATAAAAGTTACTGAAGCACGTCAGAAACAGTGAGGCGTGTCAAAAGCAGCCTCACTTGCAGGAAGAATGGATGCGGGTTTACCAGGAACTCAGAAAGTGTTGTCCCTTGCCCGTTGCTGCTCCCCACCCCATACTGCCCCCCAACCGCTCCGTACCCCCTCCACCGGCTCCGAACCCTGCTCCCCCCGCCCCATACCCCCCTGCCGCTGCTCCATACCCTCCCCCACCCATTCCCCCCATCCCCCCGCCCATGCCCCCGTATCCGCCCATGCCCCCGAACCCTGCCCCTGCGGGGAACCCCCCTCCCCCACCGTACTGCGCCATGCCTGCAGCCCCTCCCCCATACCCCCCTGAAGGCCCTGCTGCTGCTGATGCTGCTGGTGGGGGTGGTGATGGTGTTGGTGCTGCATGTGAAGAGGAGGCGGAGGGCGCAGGGGCAGGCGGGGGGGCGGAGGGATTGGCGGAATGCTTTTGCCTGCAGATGCGGGTGTTTTTTCCGCCTGCTGCTCCACCTCGTTTCCCCCAGATCCTTGCTCCGCCTCCCCCGCTGCCCCTTCCGTCCCCGCGTCTTCTTTCTTGATTACTTTCACAGGCGCAGCGGCGTATACTTTCCGCGTAGGAGGAGGCGCGGGGGCGGGCGCGGAAGGCGGAAGAGGGGGAAATTGCGCAGTTGCCCCCGCGCCGCTGCTGAAAGGCGGAACTGCGTGCGCAGGCGGGGGAATGGGCGGAAACGACGGTCGTGCGGGTGCTTGGTACCGCGGAAACGGGGGGGTTGAGCCTGACGCTGGCGGGGGAAGAGGGGGGGAAGGCGGAACATGCGCAGCAGGGGGAGTGGCGGCGGGGGACTGTGACCAAGAACCGCCGGGCCGGTACGGCGGAGTTGGGGGGAAGGCGGAAGGTGGAGGCGGAAGGGCGTGTGGCGGAAGCGGACGAGGCGCGGGGGAGTAAGCGGAAGGAGGCGGGGCGGGCAAAGGGGAAACGGAGGGCCGCGCGGGAGAAGCGCCTGAGGCGAGCGGAGGAGGCGCGCGAAGCGGAGGGGGAGCGGGGGAAACGGGAGGTCCGCCTTTAGCGGGGAGCGGCGGCGCGGGCGGAAGGGGCACTTGCGCGATGAGGTGCGCGGGAGGCGGAGCGGGCTTGGCGGAAGCGGATTCCGCGCCGAGTGCGCGCATCTCCTCTTCGAAGCGATCCAGCTCGCTCAGAAGATGCGCCATGGCTGCTAGACGCACGCAGCTGTGTAGTCTGCAGTATACGTCGTCGCTGCTAGAAGCACGCAGCTAGAAGCACGCAGATGCGTAGTCTAGTACCTTAATAGTACTAGTTTATTTACCGCGAGCGTACTGTAGTATACGCGTGCTAGGTTGATTAGTAACTAAAATACCACCGAATCACTTGACTGCAGTATACGCCGTACCAAGCAAACAGACACCTGGCTGCAGTAAGTAATATCGAGGGCTCGCAAATACCTAGTAATCGCGCTAACACAGAAACAGAAAGAATCTTGTCGATGACTAGGAAAGACTCGTTGAACCTAGAACGAGTCTTAAGCGGCAGTCGTGCCTTAGTTGTCGCGACTGAAAGCGTGGGTGACCGTTCCAGTTTGAATATTCGAGAGAGATCGTACTCGTTACTGTGCGCAAAAGTATCGAAGGAACCCATACAGAGAATCCAGTTGGCGCCAACGCTTATCCGTATGAAATAAAAGACTGAAATTCATTATTAATTTACTAACACAAAGCACAACGTATTCCCAGCACTTTCAGCTGGTATACGTCCAGCTTTATAGCTGTCAAAAATATAGGCAATAAAATTACGATTGTAAGCTAAACGGATAAAACTCATCAAACACCAAATCAACTCAGAAGGCCCGAGCAGAAAGGGAACTCCGGGGGGGCTGAGCTTCCGGGGGGGTTGATCTGTGTAGTTGCCTGCTGCCCGCGCCTCCCATGCACCTGCTGCCCGCGCCTCCCATGCACCTGCTGCCCGCGCCTCCCATGCACCTGCTGCGCGCGCCTCCCATGCACCTGCTGCCCGCGCCTCCCATGCACCTGCTGCCCGCGCCTCCCATGCACCTGCTGCCCGCGCCTCCCATGCACCTGCTGCGCGCGCCTCCCATGCACCTGCTGCGCGCGCCTCCCATGCACCTGCTGCGCGCGCCTCCCATGCACCTGCTGCCCGCGCCTCCCATGCACCTGCTGCCCGCGCCTCCCATGCACCTGCTGCGCGCGCCTCCCATGCACCTGCTGCGCGCGCCTCCCATGCACCTGCTGCCCGCGCCTCCCATGCACCTGCTGCCCGCGCCTCCCATGCACCTGCTGCCCGCGCCTCCCATGCACCTGCTGCCCGCGCCTCCCATGCACCTGCTGCCCGCGCCTCCCATGCACCTGCTGCCCGCGCCTCCCATGCACCTGCTGCCCGCGCCTCCCATGCACCTGCTGCCCGCGCCTCCCATGCACCTGCTGCGCATGCCTCCCATGCACCTGCTGCGCATGCCTCCCATGCACCTGCTGCGCATGCCTCCCATGCACCTGCTGCGCATGCCTCCCATGCACCTGCTGCGCATGCCTCCCATGCACCTGCTGCGCATGCCTCCCATGCACCTGCTGCGCATGCCTCCCATGCACCTGCTGCGCATGCCTCCCATGCACCTGCTGCGCATGCCTCCCATGCACCTGCTGCGCATGCCTCCCATGCACCTGCTGCGCATGCCTCCCATGCACCTGCTGCGCATGCCTCCCATGCACCTGCTGCGCATGCCTCCCATGCACCTGCTGCGCATGCCTCCCATGCACCTGCTGCGCATGCCTCCCATGCACCTGCTGCGCATGCCTCCCATGCACCTGCTGCGCATGCCTCCCATGCACCTGCTGCGCATGCCTCCCATGCACCTGCTGCGCATGCCTCCCATGCACCTGCTGCGCATGCCTCCCATGCACCTGCTGCGCATGCCTCCCATGCACCTGCTGCGCATGCCTCCCATGCACCTGCTGCGCATGCCTCCCATGCACCTGCTGCGCATGCCTCCCATGCACCTGCTGCGCATGCCTCCCATGCACCTGCTGCGCATGCCTCCCATGCACCTGCTGCGCGCGCCTCCCATGCACCTGCTGCGCGCGCCTCCCATGCACCTGCTGCGCGCGCCTCCCATGCACCTGCTGCGCGCGCCTCCCATGCACCTGCTGCGCGCGCCTCCCATGCACCTGCTGCCCGCGCCTCCCATGCACCTGCTGCCCGCGCCTCCCATGCACCTGCTGCCCGCGCCTCCCATGCACCTGCTGCGCATGCCTCCCATGCACCTGCTGCGCATGCCTCCCATGCACCTGCTGCGCATGCCTCCCATGCACCTGCTGCGCGCGCCTCCCATGCACCTGCTGCGCGCGCCTCCCATGCACCTGCTGCGCGCGCCTCCCATGCACCTGCTGCGCGCGCCTCCCATGCACCTGCTGCGCGCGCCTCCCATGCACCTGCTGCGCGCGCCTCCCATGCACCTGCTGCCCGCGCCTCCCATGCACCTGCTGCCCGCGCCTCCCATGCACCTGCTGCCCGCGCCTCCCATGCACCTGCTGCCCGCGCCTCCCATGCACCTGCTGCGCATGCCTCCCATGCACCTGCTGCGCATGCCTCCCATGCACCTGCTGCGCATGCCTCCCATGCACCTGCTGCGCATGCCTCCCATGCACCTGCTGCGCATGCCTCCCATGCACCTGCTGCGCATGCCTCCCATGCACCTGCTGCGCATGCCTCCCATGCACCTGCTGCGCATGCCTCCCATGCACCTGCTGCGCATGCCTCCCATGCACCTGCTGCGCATGCCTCCCATGCACCTGCTGCGCATGCCTCCCATGCACCTGCTGCGCATGCCTCCCATGCACCTGCTGCGCATGCCTCCCATGCACCTGCTGCGCATGCCTCCCATGCACCTGCTGCGCATGCCTCCCATGCACCTGCTGCGCATGCCTCCCATGCACCTGCTGCGCATGCCTCCCATGCACCTGCTGCGCATGCCTCCCATGCACCTGCTGCGCATGCCTCCCATGCACCTGCTGCGCATGCCTCCCATGCACCTGCTGCGCATGCCTCCCATGCACCTGCTGCGCATGCCTCCCATGCACCTGCTGCGCATGCCTCCCATGCACCTGCTGCGCATGCCTCCCATGCACCTGCTGCGCATGCCTCCCATGCACCTGCTGCGCATGCCTCCCATGCACCTGCTGCGCATGCCTCCCATGCACCTGCTGCGCATGCCTCCCATGCACCTGCTGCGCATGCCTCCATGCACCTGCTGCGCATGCCTCCATGCACCTGCTGCGCATGCCCCCATGCACCTGCTGCGCATGCCTCCCACGCACCTGCTGCGCATGCCTCCCACGCACCTGCTGCGCATGCCTCCCACGCACCTGCTGCGCATGCCTCCCACGCACCTGCTGCGCATGCCTCCCACGCACCTGCTGCGCATGCCTCCCACGCACCTGCTGCGCATGCCTCCCATGCACCTGCTGCGCATGCCTCCCATGCACCTGCTGCGCATGCCTCCCATGCACCTGCTGCGCATGCCTCCCATGCACCTGCTGCGCATGCCTCCCATGCACCTGCTGCGCATGCCTCCCATGCACCTGCTGCGCATGCCTCCCATGCACCTGCTGCGCATGCCTCCATGCACCTGCTGCGCATGCCTCCATGCACCTGCTGCGCATGCCTCCCATGCACCTGCTGCGCATGCCTCCCATGCACCTGCTGCGCATGCCTCCCATGCACCTGCTGCGCATGCCTCCCATGCACCTGCTGCGCATGCCTCCCATGCACCTGCTGCGCATGCCTCCCATGCACCTGCTGCGCATGCCTCCCATGCACCTGCTGCGCATGCCTCCCATGCACCTGCTGCGCATGCCTCCCATGCACCTGCTGCGCATGCCTCCCATGCACCTGCTGCGCATGCCTCCCATGCACCTGCTGCGCATGCCTCCCATGCACCTGCTGCGCATGCCTCCCATGCACCTGCTGCGCATGCCTCCCATGCACCTGCTGCGCATGCCTCCCATGCACCTGCTGCGCATGCCTCCCATGCACCTGCTGCGCATGCCTCCCATGCACCTGCTGCGCATGCCTCCCATGCACCTGCTGCGCATGCCTCCCATGCACCTGCTGCGCATGCCTCCCATGCACCTGCTGCGCATGCCTCCCATGCACCTGCTGCGCATGCCTCCCATGCACCTGCTGCGCATGCCTCCCATGCACCTGCTGCGCATGCCTCCCATGCACCTGCTGCGCATGCCTCCCATGCACCTGCTGCGCATGCCTCCATGCACCTGCTGCGCATGCCTCCATGCACCTGCTGCGCATGCCCCCATGCACCTGCTGCGCATGCCTCCCATGCACCTGCTGCGCATGCCTCCCACGCACCTGCTGCGCATGCCTCCCACGCACCTGCTGCGCATGCCTCCCACGCACCTGCTGCGCATGCCTCCCACGCACCTGCTGCGCATGCCTCCCACGCACCTGCTGCGCATGCCTCCCATGCACCTGCTGCGCATGCCTCCCATGCACCTGCTGCGCATGCCTCCCATGCACCTGCTGCGCATGCCTCCCATGCACCTGCTGCGCATGCCTCCCATGCACCTGCTGCGCATGCCTCCCATGCACCTGCTGCGCATGCCTCCCATGCACCTGCTGCGCATGCCTCCATGCACCTGCTGCGCATGCCTCCATGCACCTGCTGCGCATGCCTCCCATGCACCTGCTGCGCATGCCTCCCATGCACCTGCTGCGCATGCCTCCCATGCACCTGCTGCGCATGCCTCCCATGCACCTGCTGCGCATGCCTCCCATGCACCTGCTGCGCATGCCTCCCATGCACCTGCTGCGCATGCCTCCCATGCACCTGCTGCGCATGCCTCCCATGCACCTGCTGCGCATGCCTCCCATGCACCTGCTGCGCATGCCTCCCATGCACCTGCTGCGCATGCCTCCCATGCACCTGCTGCGCATGCCTCCCATGCACCTGCTGCGCATGCCTCCCATGCACCTGCTGCGCATGCCTCCCATGCACCTGCTGCGCATGCCTCCCATGCACCTGCTGCGCATGCCTCCCATGCACCTGCTGCGCATGCCTCCCATGCACCTGCTGCGCATGCCTCCATGCACCTGCTGCGCATGCCTCCCATGCACCTGCTGCGCATGCCTCCCATGCACCTGCTGCGCATGCCTCCCATGCACCTGCTGCGCATGCCTCCCATGCACCTGCTGCGCATGCCTCCCATGCACCTGCTGCGCATGCCTCCCATGCACCTGCTGCGCATGCCTCCCATGCACCTGCTGCGCATGCCTCCCATGCACCTGCTGCGCATGCCTCCCATGCACCTGCTGCGCATGCCTCCCATGCACCTGCTGCGCATGCCTCCCATGCACCTGCTGCGCATGCCTCCCATGCACCTGCTGCGCATGCCTCCCATGCACCTGCTGCGCATGCCTCCCATGCACCTGCTGCGCATGCCTCCCATGCACCTGCTGCGCATGCCTCCCATGCACCTGCTGCGCATGCCTCCCATGCACCTGCTGCGCATGCCTCCCATGCACCTGCTGCGCATGCCTCCCATGCACCTGCTGCGCATGCCTCCCATGCACCTGCTGCGCATGCCTCCCATGCACCTGCTGCGCATGCCTCCCATGCACCTGCTGCGCATGCCTCCCATGCACCTGCTGCGCATGCCTCCCATGCACCTGCTGCGCATGCCTCCCATGCACCTGCTGCGCATGCCTCCCATGCACCTGCTGCGCATGCCTCCCATGCACCTGCTGCGCATGCCTCCCATGCACCTGCTGCGCATGCCTCCCATGCACCTGCTGCGCATGCTGTGATCCGAGCAGCTGCAAGCACTGCGAGTCCACCTCTAGAAGAGCAGAGAGGACACTTGGTGGGGCTGAGCTCCTGGGGGGTTGATCTGTGTTGCTTCCGGCTGCTGCCTGTGCCTCCATTGTGCATGCTGTGCCCCTGTCTGCTGCAAGCACTGTGCATCCGTCCACCTCAAGAAGAGCCAAGAGGGGAACATGAGGGGAACATGAGAGGCTGGGCTTGCTAAGAGCAGTTGTGCCTGCTGTGCATGCTGTGTCCCTACCTGCTTCAAGCACTGTGTATCCGTCCGCCTCCAGTAGAGCAGATTCATGCTCTCATATTGTCGCATGAAGAAGAGCACGATGAGCTATGATGACGAGGCATGGTGATGAGGCATGATGATGAGGAATGATGATGATGCATGATGAGGGGTGATGAGGTGCGATGAGGCACGATGAGGCATGAGGAGGGATGATGAGGCATTATGATGTTGATGAGGCATCATATTGCAGTTAAAAAGTAGCATAAGAAACCAACATGAATGAAGAATATCAAGGACAAATAGCCAGAGGTAGAACAAGCTTTGAGAAACAGGGCGATGCTGACAGGTCACGGATGAGGAGGCTCGCTGCTTTGGAACCAGCGAGCATCATGCTATGAGCATCTATTGTGCAGGCACAGCGATGCTGCCAGGTCTCGGTCCTGCTTTTGGCATGAGGGCAAAGGCAAGGGCAAGGCGGGAAACATGACAGGGCAGTGCAAATAACTGCTACGTTTCAATATCACGCATCCCATATCATACATGCCCATCTCATACATGCCCATCTCATACATGCCCATCTCACACATGCCCATCTCACACATGCCCATCTCACACATGCCCATCTCACACATGCCCATCTCACACATGCCCATCTCATACATTTTGTACCTACTGAGCTGCACTGAGTACTAATCCGCACAGCAGCCTTGGACAGGTGGGTGAGATGGGGACATGGCAGAGCATAGCAGGTCAGTGCAGAGCAGAGCAGAGCTGAGCAGGCAGGAAGCAGGCAGGAAGCAGGAGGTGCAGGAACTCAGAGACCTTGCTTACCTACTGGGCTGCTGCACTGAGCACTCAAACACACAGCAGCCTTGGACAGGTGGGTGAGGGTTGACATGACATAGCAGTACAGTTCAGAGGAGAGCAGAGCAGAGCTGAGCAGGCAGGAAGCAGGAGGTGTGGAAACTCAGAGACCTTGCAAACCTACTGAGCTGCACTGAGCACTCACCCACACAGTAGACTTGGACAGGTGGGTGAGGGGGAACACGACATGGCCGAGCATAGCAGCCAGCAGGAGGTGAAAGCGCTCCTGCAACTCCAGCACAACAAAAAATAAAATCTTAAGAAACGAAAGAGTGATTTGAACTAATCTTATCATCCTTTTTCTAATATCTTTTATTTCCGTCCCTTTCAGCCCTACCTCCTCGAACACCCGTTCCCATTCCAGCAGCAACCAGCCCAGCCTAATGGACTATGCAGCATCATCCATACATGATCATTGTTATGCATGGATGAACGATGCTGCGCATCAGCACATCACAATGCATACATGATGACTACCACAAGGCAGTGCTTACATGGCCATCCATTCGTTAGTATCACCCCATGGCACTGCATGCATGACCATCACCAGTTCATGGCAATGCATGCTTGACCATCATCAGCCCATGGCAAATGCATGCTTGACCATCATCAGCCCATGGCAATGCATGCGTGACCATAGTCAGCCCATGCCAATGCGCGCATGACCATTAGCCCGCAGGGATGCAACCATGAAAGTCCACTCAAGGCATTTTTACATTGCCAGCCATAAACGACTTTCAATACATAACCCATGCATTCATGCATTTGCACATGTATCATCCTGGCTGACCATGGTGCATCAGTCAACAGGCTGGTAACAACCGAACTGCACCACAACGGGATCATGTGCCATGTGGCATGGCCCTTCTGTATCAAAACATTTAAAAAACAGCTGAAACAACAGAACTACACAAAAAAAGGCAGGGCTACATGAACCAATGCAGTGCAATGCTAAATTGCCACACTAAATTGCTGCCAGTCTAAGATATGACATTCTGCCCACAGCTCAACGCTTGCTTGCACCCTTCAACATCCAACTGCTGCAGCAGCTTTAGCTCGGTCAAATCGTCTGGCAAGGCCTCCAATAGCTGACAGTGAGAGAGGCTGAGTTTCCTCAGCCTGGTCAACTGAGCAAACCCGGGAGGAAGGAAGCTGATGGAAGTATGGTCAAGTCTAAGCACACAGAGGCAGCGAAGCTGGGTCAAGGAAGATGGAAGCTGCTGCAGGGCTGTACACTCTGACAGATCCAGCTCACGCAGCCTGGATAATGATCCGATGTCACCGGGGATAGAGGCCAGCTTGGGCCCCTGAACTTTCAATGACGTCAGTTGTTGCAGCTGTGAAACTGTTTCTGGTAAACTCTCGAACTCCTTGACACAAAAGAGGTGCAGTTGCCGCAGCTGCTGGAATGCCACCTTGATGATTTGTGGGAAGGCCTTGATCCTTGTACCACGCCGAAGCATTCCAGCACGCCGAATCCTCCAGACGTGGAGCTCAGAATCTGAACCCAAGGTGGGTGGGACCTGCTCAATGCTGTCTACCAAATCCAGCTCCAAGTGCCTCAGACGAGATGGCAAGGAAACCTCAGGCAGGAAACCAATCTTACTGTTCTGCTTCCATAGCAGGACCTCAAGGGAGAGTGGCAGCGACACAGGAAGGCCACGCAACCGTCCGCACCCAGTTACCTCCAACCGCTGGAGCTTGCAAAAGCTACCCAGCCTCTTTGGCATCGAAGAGAGCTCATTACAACTATCTATGATCAAGGAAACAAGGCTAGTGAGCCCTGTTACAGACTCAGGAATTTCCCTAACCGAACAGTCGCGAATGCAGAGATGCTGCAGGTTACTCATATTCTCCAGACGCCCAGAAAGCATTGAAACTGAGCCAGAGACGATCTTAAGACTTGTGACAGACTTGCTGAGCAATCCAATCCTCTTTGAAAGCGCCATCAAGTGATATTTCTTGAGGCTTAAAGTCTTGAGAGATAAAAGGTTGCAAGAATCTGCTGGCACCTTGCAAATTCCATAACTGCGGTGATGCAGCACTAGCCTCTCCAGTGATGTAACCTGCCAGAGGGAGTCAGGTAGCTTCGAGAAAGGGATATTCTCCAGCATCAGTGACTTGAGAGCAGGCAGCTGTCCAATGTCCTTGGGCAGGCTCTCAAACCGGCGGGAATCAATGATGGACAAGCTCTCTAATGCAGTTAGGGAAGTGATGCTCTCAGGGAGTTGGTTGAAATGAGAGCAGTTCCGAATGGCCAGCTCGCGTAGGCATGGCAACAGCTCTCCGATGTCATCAGGAAGGAAATGGAGGTAAAATGAATTGGTAATCACCAGCTGTTGTAAACGGATGCACGGTGATCCTGTAGGAAACATCGAAGTGAAATTAGGACTAACGAACTGGAGCTCGAGTGTCTTCAGATAAGGCAGCTGAGCAGCAGTGAAAGTTGGAATTGGTGAATCATTCGTGAAAAGGTAATCAAAGGTAAGAGAAAGTTTGGAGAGTCTTGGGATGCGAGCAAAGCCTGACAGTTGCTGACGTGTCGGCTTCCTGAGAGCGATATGGAGAGAAGTGAGGGATGGAAGTCTTGCAAATTTGGATAGTGCCAAGGCTGAAACGTCAGTCAGAGAAACCGTGTGGAGATGCTGCAGTTGGAAGAAAGAATCCGGCAAGTCAGTATCTTTATGGAGGCAGTAAAGCGAAATCTCCTCCAGCTGGGTGCAGTTCAGGAAGAAGTTTACCAGGCCAGCTTGAGTAACCGGGTGCTTATCCTTGTCTCCACACCTCGTCGGGGTGATCCTGCGACCCACGTGAAGAGCTTTCAGCTTAGGCCGTGACGAAGCAAGGTGAGCGAGGAAAGCGTTGTCAATAATTTCAACACTGCCGTCGCTCAGATGAAGATTCGTGAGGTTGTCGAAAAACGCCACTGCGATCGCCAGATCTTGACGAGATACGAAACGGTTTCCTTGAACTGAGAGACAAGTGACCTGACGTTTAACGAGGTGACGCCAACGACTACAAACGGATGCGACGAGCAGATTGTACGCTACATCTGCTAAGGCTGGAGGAGTGGATTCAAACGTCCTTGAATCGGGAAGCGAGTCCCATGAAGAATTAGTACCAGATTGGACAGGCATGATTCCACCCTGGAACCACAAAATCTTCGTAAGAAGATCATCTGAAAGTCGATTGATGTGTGAGAGACGCTCCATCTAACTCCCAAGGATTCACTGCAAGAACTAGCGAAGGTATGAAACAAAGATCTCGACACTCAGAGCTAAATGACCAAGGAGTGAGGAAAGTCGCTTACATACGGATCGCCTCTCAAGTGACTCTCGAAAGAGGGATTACGACATGACCCACGCTGACCTGCGAGCTGGAGGTAAGGCGAGTGACGAAGCTACGCGCCGTGCTTTTGCTGGAGGGGCTGCCAATCTGAATGAGGATCCCTAGGCGCTTGGATACCTGGTGACGTGTTTCCCTGCTTTCGAGTTCTACCATGCCTAACGAATCAGCACAAACCAGCGCTTCTAGGGATGATCAGGGAGCCCGGGCTGGTCTAATCTGACTGGATTTCGCGCTGGAAAGACTCAGTTTGGAGCGTGGAACCAAGTCGTAGGAAAAGCTACTAGGGGCTCACGAGGGAGATCGAGGATCCCCCAAATAATATAACACAAATCGTTCTCGCTATTGAGCACTCTGGTTCTCTCCAAACAAACGTTTAATTTCCGTATTAACAAAGTACATCATTTCTTCCACGTGGAGAAATTACTTCTTTCATGAACATCCATGCTTTGCCGAAATGCTGGGCAATCAGGCACATCTCCACGATTATTATGGCGCCATGCGCTGAGGATTTGACGTGGTCTCTTCCCGATCATCCCTTGAAATGAAGAAGTGGACACAAAAATTACGGTATGCTTATTGTTTATTGTCTTACCAGTCAGATGTGCACACGAAAGCAATTGGCTTGGCTGGAATCCAAACGAAAATACAAAATGGTAACTGAAAATCATGTAGCCCGACGTATATTGTCAGATCACGATTGCCCCGGCTAAAGAGGTATCGTCAGGCTATCAATCTTGAAGTCCCTGCAGTCCAATAAATTAAGACCAATGGCTGCCATACCCGATTTTATGCCTGCCTTCTGAATCCCCACCTGCTGCAAGCACTGTGATTCCATGTGCAGTAGAGCACAGAGAGCAGAATTGGGGGGCTGCCGATGAAGGAATTGAACTGATAAGGCAGCAGTTGAGATATTTGTGGTGGCGGTGGACAGATGTGAGGGAGAGGGGAGTGAGGTGCGATGGAATGTTCGCACTCTCGTGTTGTCTCTTGGGGTTGGGGGAAGCAAGGAGCGGACCTGGGAGGAAGTGAGTACGGGGTAGCGCGAGGATGATTAATCAGAGTAAAGAAGGAAAGGAAACACGAATAATTTGGATCATGAAGGCCCGCACAATGTGTGTGATATCTCGGCGGTGAGCATAAATGAAAATTAGAAAACACAGAGCTGAACGAACTGATATCCATTTTTTTTTTTTTTTTTGGTTTAAGAATAATTTTGAGTACATACTTGACCCATCTCCATTCACCATCTCCCCTCCCCACTCACCATCGCTTCCACTCACTCCACCAGCAGCAGCAGTGCATCAGCTGTGGCCTCAACTCCAAACGCCAGTCTGCTTTGACCTGCTTCTTATCTTACCCTCCAAACTCTCTCCTGCTCATTCTATGTGCATCACTCATGTTACCTCCCCGGACTCACCATCCCTTCCCACTCTCTCCACCACTCAGCAGCACACCTGCTGGGGCTTCAACTCCAAACGCCAGTCCGAGTGGGCCGGGCCAGGAATTGGGCACCGAGCCGCACAGCCCACTCACCCCATTCAACCGCACAGCTTAGTCATGCTGTCGTCACGCCAGTTGCAAGCACTGTGCGACCATCTCCAGAAGAGCAGAGAAGACACCGAGGAAAGCTGATTTTGCACCAACTGGCGGGCTCTGATGGGATTGAAGTGGTGAATAAAGCAGTGAGGAAGCAGCTGAGGTCTTTGTGGTGGCATTCGAAGAAAGTAGACTGATGAGCGGCAATTGAAGTGGTGAGACAGCAGCTGGGATCTTCGTGGTGGCAGTGGAAGAAAGTAGACTGATGAGCGGCAATTGAAGTGGTGAGACAGCAGCTGGGATCTTTGTGGTAGCGGAGGAGAGGTGAGAGGAAGAGGGGAGTTAGGTGAGATGGAACATTCAAACTCTCGTAATGTCCCTAGGGGTGAGTGGAAGCAAGCAGCCGACTGAGAGGAAGAGAGGGGGGTTTTAGGAGGAATAAGATTGGGGAAAGCGGTTAGGGAACAGAATGAATGCAGCAGATGAACTCTCACGTGGTCTCTTGGGGTGATAGGACGGAAGGAGCGGAGAGTATACGAGACCACATGAGTCAGACTCACAAAGAAAATAGACTGATCATGCACGAATCTCTCTTGCTCTTTGCGCTCCTTCGAAATCTGCCCATAATCTCCAAGGATAACTGATAGGAGGAGTTGGAAATAAATATTCGGATCATGAAGAAGATGATGATGAGGCATGATGAGGCATGCAGGATGATGAGGCATGCATGATGAGGCATGCATGATGATAATGAGGCATGGTGAGGCACGATGAGGGGAGGGATGATGAGGGATGATGAACCCTGCTTTGTATAACAGTCCCCCCTCCTTACTCGCACCTCCGTTCCTCTCTAAAAAACTCTCAAAATCCCTCCGCACACCATCTGTTCCCCACCAGCAGCAGAACATCTGATGTGGCCTCAACTCCAAACGCCACCCTCCTCCTTCTCTTTCTCTCCCAACACCCTCTCGCTCATCTGCCTCCCCGCCACTCACAAACTCTTCCCCACCAGCATCCGAACATCCGATGTGGCCTCAACTCCAAACGCCACCCTGCTGCGGAGGCAGGGCGATGCTGCCTGGTCCCAGTTGGGTGTACTCACCACTCGGGGGAATGGGGGAGGGTAGGAGGGGGAGAGGGGGAGAGGAGAAGGGAGGAGGGAGTGTTGGAATATGAAATGGAGGCAGGGAGATGCTGTCAGAAAGTACAGACAGGAATGAATGAACTAGCAGCATGATGGGTACAAGTAGGAAACCCTAATCTGGGTTGTACCCCATATGGGCTACTCCATTATAGCCTACACAATAAGCAGCATATATGTTTGACACACCCCCATAGGCAAAGTGGGGGAGAACAAGAGGTCACAGGACCAGTAAAAAAAGGCAAAGCAAGCTCAGGGTGGATCACAAAGTCACCACGCATTCTGAGCCTAAGCAAAGGGCCACAAGGCCAGTTCACATGCAGAGGTATATATGCAACAACACAGTACAGTGATCACTACCTAGCAAGAGCAAGCATGCAGGTATATATACATAGATCACAGTACAAGCAAAGCCTACAGCAAGTGAGGAAACGTAGGCACGAGGCCCAACAAAGTACAAAAGCGCTGATGATCACCAGGCGGAAGTGCCTTGGTGAATATATCAGCAGTGTTGGCCCTGGTGGCCACGTGAGCAAGACGAAGCTGACCAGCGCCGACAGCTTGGGGCATGCAGCGGCGAGATGAGCGAGGAAAGCGTCGTCTAGGGTTTCCACGCTGCCGTCGCACAGACGAAGGGCCGTCAAGTTGGGGAAACTAGCGATAACATTTGCGAGATCTCGACGGGAAACGACCAATTTTTCGCTGACAAGAAGCGTGGAGGTGTGGTGCTGAGCGAGACGCCGCCAACGGCGGCATACAGAAGCGATGACGAATGTGCGAGCAACATCTATGCATGGCGGCGGAATCGGTAGAGCGGGTTTATTTTCGTGATCGGAAGAAGAGTCTTCTTCTAAGTTGTCATTGGAAAGGTACTTAGGCTTCTGCTTTAAATGCTCCCATAAAGAGTCACTATCATCTCTGCGAGAAAACGGTTCCTTAACGGAATAATTCATAATCGCAACGAGAAGGTCGTCAGAGAGCTGGTTAATGCTCGTTGGCTTAACCGTTTCCGAGCTACTGATAGCCGCTGAGTCCGCCATGGCGGGGTCGATGAGTCAGGACGCGTCACCTGCCTCGATCGATCGTAGGATTGCCAGGAAAAACCAATCGGGCATACCGATTGTAGGATTGGGGCATGATTGGGGGCAGGTGACAGCTGAACATCGATCGCAGCTTGGTTTCGAGCCCTGGGTGACGAGTTCGGTATTGCGCCAGGGGACATGGTTGGGCGAAAATATGCAGCACCTTCGTATGGTTGATTTGCGAGAAAAAACATGAGATGATTCAGGTAACCCTGCAAACTGTGCGACGGCGATCGATCTTGCCTGCCACTTTGAGCGCGAGCTTGGA